ATGCCTCTAAAGGAAAGCATTCATATTTTAATCAAGAAGCAGGCATGGAGTCAGGACTCCAGGAATTTTTTCCACCCCCCTGCCTGGACTCTCCCACCACACGCTGAAATTCCTTCTAGCTGAATTCAGAAATACCCAAAACTTCTGGGAAAAAAAAAAGTTTAACAAAATCACCTGCCAGAATGGGCATGGTGAAGAAAAATAACATCACCTTGTTTTTTTAAGCAATGGAACCTGTCAAAGCATGAGAGTAAAATCAATTAGAGTAAAAAATACAACATCTATGACTTCAGTAAAAAGGGAGGAGGGTTTCTTCCTGAGCCTGTGGCCAGGCCAGAGCCACACAGCAATGGGGACTGGAAGGCAACACCACCTCCCAAAGCCTGAACCTCCCACTCCCTGGCTGAGAAGCCCCCTCAGTGACCCCACTGCTTCTTCCCTGAAGAAGTGAGGACCTGGCAGTGCTGGGGGAAGGGTTGGACTCCATGATCTTAAAGGGCTCTTTCAATCCAAATGATTGTACAGCTCTATAATTCTAAGCCAATTGCTGTCAGCATCATTTTAAAGTCCTCCAAGAGCTGAGACAGAACAGTTTCCTGAAGCACTGGGGCCCTTCAATGGGAACAAAGGGGGTTTTTTTTATGACTCTGGCAATATTTAGCACAAACTTTTACCACAGTACCTGGCACTAAAAACCCTAGCCACTAATTTTAGGCCTTGGGACACAGGATGGGCTGATCTCCAGAGACAAAGCATGATGCTTGCCCACTGGGGACACAGCTACTCACATGCAAAGAGGAAGGCATGGCACACTCACAGCCAAACCATTCTTAAACTCGAGGAGAAGGCTTTCCCCACAGGACCCTGCCCTCCTCAGACCCCCTCCTACTTACATCAATTTCTCCATCATCAATCTCTCCATCATCTTCTTCTTTCTTCTTCTCCTTCAGGGGATCCTGCCCGTCCTTTTCGTCATCGCTTTTGCTGCTGGATTTTTTCTCATCTTCAGGGGCATCATCTCCTTTCTCCTCTTCCTCATCATCCTCACCGGCAGCTTTCTCCCCGTCCTCCTCCGCGGCAGCAGCACTGGGTTCCTCAGGAACCTCCTCGTCGTAGTCCAACTCGTGCTCATCCAGCTCACGGGTGACAGAGGATGCTTCATCCCCGAGGTCATTTGTGTGGTCTTCCTCCTCCCCTTTCCCTGGGGGAGGGCTCTTCAGCTCCCCACTCTGCTCGTTGTTGTCAGACTCCGGAGACTTGGTCTCGCTCAGGCGGTCTTCTTCATCCGAGTGGTTCTCCTCTTCACCGTGGCTCAGTCCCCTGGTGGCATCCTCCTCCTCCTCCCCCAGGACGCTGCCTTGCCCCCCCTCTCCATCAAGTTCTCGCTCTGAACCACTCTCCTTCAGGACTTCCTCATCAGAAAGCTGCTGGTCTTCCTCAGGAGAGCAGGGGTTTCGCTCAGGGCTGTCGGAAACGTCCATCAGTACCTGGTGATCTGCAGAGGGCAGAAAACAACACTTGGTATGGGGAAAGAAGCTGGGGAATGGAGGAAGGTTCACCTTGTAGAAGCTGCACTCTTGTATTCTCCCTCCTAAAGGTGAAAGGGTTGCTGGAATTAATGAATATGGTTTATCAGAGTACCTTCAGAAAGAAAATATGGAGTTTAAACTGTGTAAAGAACAGATTCCAGTGTTGCCCCAGACCAGATAAGAGTGTTCTGCCCTTCACAGACAACAACAGGGCTTGAGGCTGGAATTTCACCTACAGGCTCTAACAGGTGAGGCTGCACAACTGACTGTTAGAAACCCCAAGGGAGCCCTCATCCCAGGCACAATCAGCAGTGGCATTTCTTCTGTGAACAGCAAGTGAGCTTCAAGACACAGGGGCAGCTTTTCAGGTGTCTTTTGTAACTACAGGCACATGGCACCAAAAAATGCATAGAATCTTAGAGGGAGGGTTGAGGGAGCTGGGGGAGTTGAGCCTGGAGCAAAGGAAGCTCAGGGGAGACCTTCTGGCTCTGCACAGCTCCTGACAGGAGCCTGGAGCCAGGTGGGGGTCGGGCTCTGCTCCCAAGGAACCAGTGACAAGACAAGAGGAAACAGCCTCAAGTTGTGCCAGGAGAGGTTTAGCCAGGAGAGGTTTAGGTTGGACATAAGGAGCAATTTCTTCACAGGAAGGGTTGCCCAGGGCTGTGCCAGGCTGCCCAGGGCAGTGGTGGAGTCCCCACCCCTGGAGGGGTTTCCAAGCCGTGGAGATGTGGTGTGAGGGACACAGGGCAGTGGGGACCTGGCACTGCTGGGGGATGGCTGCACTCAATGACCTTAAAGATCCTTCCCAACCTAAACTACTCCATGACTCCATGTCCCCTGCACTTACCCTCCTGCTGTATTTCAGCACTCAGATCCCCAATCATTTGGGTTCCAGACACCATGAAGGTTTGGGTTTGCTCTGATCACAGCACGTGGCAGTCTGGATCCTGTGTCCTGGTGCACCTCCTGCCTGCCTGCTCTTGCTCTTTGATGGTAAATGGCAACCTCAGCTAGGCAGAACCAGTTGGAGAAGAGACAGTGAGGGTCAGGAGAAGGTTAAGTACCACAGAGCTGCCTAGTGGTAATAACTTTTATTTCATGAAGGATTATGGATGAGCACTGTGCATACCTGGGCTGGTTTTCCAGCACTGTTAAGTTGTGCTCCTGCACCTCTGCAGGAGTCACAGAATCCCAGAATTGTTTCTGTTCATATAGACATTTCAGATTGAGTCCAACCATTCCCCCAGCACTGGTTCCTTGGGAGCAGAGCCCGACCTCCCCCTGGCTCCAGGCTCCTGTCAGGAGCTGTGCAGAGCCAGAAGGTCTCCCCTGAGCCTCCTTTGCTCCAGGCTCAGCACCCCCAGCTCCCTCAGCTGCTCCTCCCCACATTTGGGCTCTAGACCCTTCCCCAGCAGCTTTGTTGCCCTTCTCTGGCCACACTCCAGCCCCTCCAGGTCCCTCTTGGAGGGAGGGGCTCAAGAGCCCATTTGACAACACTGTTACCTGTGCTACTCATCTGCTTCTTCATAAACCTGCCAGCACCAGGGCTGCTGAATTTATGTCTTGTATGCTGCCAGATGTCCTGTCATCACTGAGATAACATCTCTTGCCTTCACCCTACTGAAGACATTATTGGCTGGTATTTGCAGCCAACTCTCCAGATGAAAGTCTCACTTGAGCAAATGCTGCTTGTTACACCAGAGAGGTCTGCAGAGAAGGAGCTAAAACCACAAATAATATAAAAACCACTCCCAAAAGCAGCACAAGTCCTTATGTTAGTACCCAACAACCGTGCTCTACTTCAAGTCTTCAAAGCCCTGCAGAGATATGAGCTAATTGATACATGTAAAGATGTCCCCAAGCACCAGGAGAGACATTTTTGGAGACTCCCACCAGCTACTCTTGTTTCTCCACCATCTGAAGTCAAGCTGTTGCTCACAACCAAAGTTTTCATTGTGCTGAAAAGTTAATAGCTAAATGAAAAGCCATCAGCTGCCTCCTGACTGTGGCTCTGGGCAGCTAAACAGGATGGAATCTGAAATAAATTACATTCTGAGCACAGAGATAAAGGTCGACTCCGAGCTCATAAATTTGCACAAATTGTTACTGATAAAAAAAAGCAAGTTTATGGCAGTGATTTTAATTGCAGGAACGCCTGAGAAGTTCCATTTTGCCCCCACACAGAAGAAGGTGGCATGTTCTGTTGGGAAGGTCAGCCTGAAGAGGCCAGTAGGAATAGAAAAAGCTGTCAAGGGCAGATGAAGTCAGGAAATTTGTTTTCTGATTTCTTGCAAATAAGCAGCACCAAAGAAAAAGCCTTTAAGTGAACTAAATGCCTTCCTGCCTTCGACCCCGAGACCTCCAGAGGGATGGGGGAAATCAAATATGGACCAGCCAAGGTGATAAGGATGAACCATTCCCCTCCACCAGCAGCTAGTAAAGCTATTATAAAAATCTGGTGCCTCCCCCAGTTACAACCATCTTCTGTTCATTTCCATGCACAGAAATTAATAAAAATCTGGTGCCTCCCCCAGTTATGACCATTTTCTGTTAACTTCCATCCACAGAAATAATGAGAAACAGAATAAATGGCAGCCCAAAGGGTTAACAGAATCCAGGCACTCTGGCTTTGGTGGTGTTACCCTGGATTCAAGTAACAGCAAGTTTTCCTTCAGCAACAGGCCCTGTGTGCAGCCTGATGTCCCAAAGCAGAGCCAGGAGATGCACAGGTAAAGTTAAAGTAGAAGAAAGACAGGGAGATGGAAGTTGAAGGCTGAGACACCAGAGCTGTGCTGCCATTCAGAGAGACCTGGACAGGCTGGAGAGCTG